TATAATAACAAATTAAACCCAAATAAGTAGAAGAAAGAAAATAAGAGAAAGTAGAAATTTAATATAGTACAAAAATAACCTATATAAAACCAATAAAATGAAAGTTGGTTTTTTTGAAAAGATTAGTTACACTGATAAACCTCTGGCTAGACTGACCAAGATAAAAAACACCGCACAAATTACTAATATCAGGAATGAAAGAGAAAGCATTAAGATCATATAGACATTAGAAGAACAATTAACATTATTAGTAACTTCATGCAAATATATATGACAACTCAGTTGAAATGCACAAATTTCTTAAAAGTCACAACTTGCCAGAATTTATATAAGAAATATAAAATGTCAATAGTCTTTATTTTTGTAGTCTATATCTATTAAAGTTGTTGAATTCATAATGTAAAACCTTTCCACAAAGAAAACTCATGACCCAGATGATGTCACTGGTGAATTCTATCAAACATTTAAGAATAAAATATTATCAATCCAAATACTTTCAGAAAATAAAGAAAAAGAACACTTATCAACTCATTTTCAAAGGCAAGCTTTAACCTCATTCCAAAACTGGACAAAGAGATTACAAGAAAGGAAGAATAAAGATCAAATCATGCATGAACATGGATACAAAAAATCCTTAATAAAATATTAACCAACTGAATCCAGCAATATATAAAATAAGTAATACATCACAAACAAGTATCCCAGGAATGTCAAGGTTTAACATTCCAATGTCAGCCAATATAATTGACTACATTAATTAATCAATCAAGTAATAAAGTATTTATATAATCCTCTCAATAGATGCAAAAAAATCATTTGATAAAATTCAACATCTATTTATGATAGAAACTCTCAGCAAACTAGGAATAGAAGGAAATTGCCTGACAACTTGCCAATGGTCTAACAAAGGGCATCTACAGAAAAAAAAATCACACCTAATGGTAAAAGACTGAATGCCTTCCCACTGTGATCAGAAACAAGGAAAGTGACTCTTGCCACTTTTATTCAAAATGGTATTAGAGGTCTTAATCAGCAGAAATAAGGCAAGAAAAAATGCATTCAGATAAGAAAGCAGCAGAACTTTCCCTTTTCACGTATGACATAATTGGGTATGTAGAAATTCCAAAGGAATTAAAAAAAAAAAAAAAAAAAAAAAAAGAAGCCCTAAAACCTAAAAACCAAAACAATCCAACCCCAAAACTATGAATAAGTGAATTAGCAAAGTTATAGGACACAAAATTAACATACAAAAATGTATTCCTATATACTAGCAGCAAACAACTGGAAAAGTGAAACCCAAAATACAGTATCGTTTGCAAGTGTCAAAAAAACAGAAGTAGTTAAGAAAAAGTGTAAAGGGTGCCTGGGTGGCTCAGTGGGTTAAAGTCTCTGCCTTCAGCTCAGGTCATGATCTCGGGGTCCTGGGATCGAGCCCTGCATCGGGCTCTCTGCTCAGCGGGGAGCCTGCTTCCCTCTCTCTCTGCCTGCCTCTCTGCCTACTTGTGATCTCTCTGTCAAAAAAAAAAAAAAATAAAGTGTAAAATGTATATGCTCAAAGCTACAAAATATTGCTAGAGAAGTTGAAGAAGACCTCAAAAAATGGAGTGGTATACCATGTTCATGGATTTGAAGGGATCAGTTCTCCTCATGTTGATCTATGTGATCAATCTAATTAATGACACATCAAGCATCGTGTTCTACTGCTTTTGCCTCCTAACTATACCTCAACACTGACCTCTTCTCTCTGCCTCTACCACCTCTCATCTGTTCAGGACACCATCATCTCTCCCTTGATGTCTGCAACAGCCTTCTGCTTCGTCCCCTCCCCATCCAGAGACTTCAACCAGAGAGAAAGATGTCAAATATACACGAATCAGACCCTGCTTAAAACTGTGCAGTGGCTCCCTACCATCCAAGACATAAGACCCAAGCTCCTTAAATGGACCTCAAGGCCCTTACCTACCTTTCCAGCCTCAGCTCCTGCCACATTTGCTGAGCCTCCTCCCCACACTGTAGGCACAGAGAGCTTCTTTCCATTCCCTGAGGGAGCCCAACTCCTCTGTCAGCCCCAGCCCTACACTGCTGGCCCCAGGCTGGTCAAAGATCACCCCCATGTGTCATCCATCCTTCACCACCAGGATTATCTGCATGACCTGTGTGCAGTCCTCCCGAATGGATCGTGCATGCCTCAGGGGCAGGGGTGCTGGGCCTCTTGGCCACATCCATAGCCCCCCACACATGCTCACAGAGGGGCTTCAGAATGAAGGCACGGGGGAGCAGGGTAGAGAGAGAGGTGTTGATGCCGATGGGTCTTCTCATTGGGGCTTGGCGGATGAGGTATGAGAGCACATCAATCAGATACACGCATACACACATACATCCCAGTGCCCTGATATCACACTTGTCCAGGCCCCAGGAACACACAGGGGACCAGGACTGACCTGACAGAGTCAGCCCAGCCCGAGCCAGGGCTGTCTCCATGTATATTAGCTTCTTCTCCTGGGTGATTTGTGAAGGGACAGGCAGCTGAGGGTGGGCACAGGCTGAGCCCTGGCCCTGTGTGTTCGGGGAGGGTGGGGATGGGAGGGCGGGTGCTTTAGGCAACTGTGCACAAGCCTGGTACTAACCCTCCATCCCTCGTGCTCCCCAGGACCAGAGCAAGCAGGCTCCCAGACCAGATGCGAGACTGTGCTGTGCTGGCACAGCTGGCACCCACTAGGAATCAGAGGACCAGCCAGAGGGTCCTAGCCAGAGCCCCGAAGCTCAGGTCCCCTGGGCAGGGGCTAGGCCCGAGCTGCAGAGCCGAGTACTCCTGCGGGCTAGAAGGCCCAGCCTGCCCCCTAAAGCCCCTAAAGCTCATCCTCAAAACGAGCAAAGGATATCTCCTGGAGAGAGCAGCCATGTCCGAGGCCTTGTGCTCGGGTCCCCCAAGCCCCAAAGCGTCCCCAGGAAAAAAGTGACTCTTGCGTTCATTTCAAAGGGCAGCAAATCTAGCTTCCATCTGTTAAATATTAGAGGAGAAAAAAAAATCTAGGAAGACCAAATGACGCAGACATGGGACTCTAAGCAAGAAGAAATGATGATTAATGGAGAGAGAGACAGAGAGACAGAGAGGAAGGGGCCTGGAGCATCTGAGAACCTTGCCCCAGCCAGGCTGGCCCAGGGCCCACTCACCCAGCTCCATCCTGCTTCTCACCCGGGAAGCCCTGCCCAGCCAGGCACCCCTCTGTGACTACTGCGCTCAGGGAAGTGGCATCTTGATACTCACCTCAGAATGCCTGCCACCCCTAAGGCTGACCCAGGCCTGGGGGCGGGGGGGCGGCAGGTGAGGCTGATGAGAGTAAGACCCAGGACCGGGCAGGACACGGCTCCCATGGGGAGGGCACAGCTCACCTGCCTGAAGCAGGAAGTGTTAAGAAGAGAGCCTGAACAGGTGGTGTGGGGCAAAGTCTGCCAGGAGGGCTGAAAGGGTACTGTTCGGCTGCATACACCCAGACCTGCCTGTCTGTGTTGGCGGGGGCCACCAGATGCAGCTACACAGCCCCCACGGGCAGGCGCACAGGACCGGGACTCCACTGGGGCCTGGCTGCTGGACTCCCTTGGCATAGCTGGCCACTGCTGCTGGGGTCCCTGGAGCTGCAGGCCAGGGCCACGGTGAGGCTCCAGTCCATACTGGTCAGCAGGGCCAAGTGGTGAGGCAGCCGTGGGCCCATCCACGTAGGGCTCTGTGGTCTGCAGCCCCAGCTTAGCCCGGTGCATCTTGTATGGGGCTTGGGAGTGGGGGGCAATGCCAGATCGCCAGATGTGAGAAGAGAGGTGGAGGCTGGAGGTTTCTGATGCATGGGAGGTCCCACCGTGCGGTGGAGGGGGCATGGGTCCACATTTCGTTGCTCCCTTTCTCAGCAGGATGAGCTAGGCTGGTACCCATCCTGCAGGCCAAGGACTCCAGGGCAAAGCAGAGAGCCAGAGCCTGGACATGGGACACACTGAGTGTGGTCAGAGCCCAGGCTCGGCTTCCACAAGGACACTGAAGCCCAGAGAAAGCAAGCTACTTCTGGAGGTCATTGGGCCAGAAGGGAGCGCCACCGCAGGGAACCAGGCAGCCACTGAGGATGCCCTGGGGGTCAAGATCAGGTGAAGGAGCCACATGAAGGAGGGGGGCGCAGACTGGGGGCTGCTGGGCAGAGGACATGCGTGCTGAGGCACTGTCTCCGCTGGCACCCTGCTGCCAGGGCCGGTCCCTAAGCCCAGCGTAGCTGAGGGCTGGCTGCCTCCTCCAGGCTGCCTTTTCACGGGTGGATTCTCTCTGTCCTCACTTGACCCCAGAGAATGGGTCACAGAGTCACAGCAAGGGCCACTTTCAATCCCACCCCATGCCACAGAGAGGCCAGCCCCTCCTTCTAGAGGCATCCTGCCCATCTGTGGAGTGGGGTGGGGCGGTGAGCAGCACTTTTCTCTCAGGCCCTGTGCCACAGCACCCTACCCTCCTTGGGAAGGGTGGCGCATTAGCTGGCTGCCCCGGGTGATGGTGACCCCATGGTGCTGGGGAGTCAGAGAGATGGGAGGTGAGGGAAAGAGGTCTGGCTGAGATCATGGCCTGCTGCATCCAACTGGGTAGGGGCCTGGGAACCTGCAGGGCCTCCCCCTTCCACAATAGGCAGCTCCTCAGGGTCTCACCAGGCAGCAGGGGTCGGGGCAGGGGGAGGGGGTAAGCCCAGCATGAACAGGGAGGAGGATGTGAGCCGTAAGCTGTGCCAATTCTCTTTTCCAGGCCACCGCCTCCTGCTCCTGTACCAGGGCATGTGCCCAGCCCTACTGGCCCTCCAAACCTCTCAGCACCGCTGTCTGCCCCCCAAATCAGCCGTGCCTGCCTCACAGGCCAGCTAGGCCCGTCCCAGAGGCCGTGGTCACTGGCAGCACACGAGTGGCTGGGCGGAGGGCCCCCAGGGCACATAGCATCTGGCTTTCCCCTCCTCCGCAGCGAGAAGACAAGACTTGTCTGTAAACCACTCAGTACTCATGTTTATTTATAAAGTTATTTCCTAAAAAGGCTGCACATAAATAGTTATCAACAAGATCGTTATACTCTGCTCTCGTCTGCTGTAAGGCCTCTCTCCAGAGCCAGGTGCAGGTGCCGTGAAGGGACACCGTGGAGGGTCACCGGCAAGCTCTGCGGCCTGAGCCATGAGGAACAGAGACGCCGTGTGTGCGGCTTCCCCTGCTCTCCCTGCGGCACCTGCTGCTCCTCTGGCCCTGGGCCCCGTAAGACGGGCTCTTCGCCTGGACCCGTGAGCACGTGCAGTCATCCAGCTCAGGCCTGGCTGCTTCGGCATCAAGGCTGGGGGCATCATGGGAGGGAGCCCCTCGGAAACCCCAGTTGCTAGAGCTGACATAGCCGGGGGTGGTGTCACCCGGTTAGGTTTTCATAACTGCCATGAAGGAGGCCTGCAGGAGGAAAGATGGCAAGGGCTGGGCAGCGGCTGCCCAGGATGGCAGCTGGGGCCTGCCCCCCTCGTGCACCGGGCTACACTGCCACAGCTGTGACTGTAGCTCCCGCCCCTCGGCCCTCCTGCCAAGAGACAAGTGTGCCCGTGTCCCAAGCCCCACACCTACCTCCCGGAGGAGCTGCCCCAGCCTCTCCTGGCTGTGGATGGAGCGCCTGCGGGAGAGAAGACACAGTAGCCTGGCTGGCCCCCAGCCGGAGGAGCAGCTGCGCTCGCCTCCTGCCACCCCCCTGCACGCTGACATGCCCTGCCTGCTGCTGCTCTGTTGGAACAGGTTGGAGCTGGGGTGGGTGGGCCAGAGGGTATGACAGGAAGGGGCACACAACATGCTGAGGAATCCCTCCCAGCCCTAGAGCCCCACCTGTCTATCCTGGTGGCGATGGTCACCGTGAAGGCCCCTTCCGTATCCGGCAGGTAGGTGGAGGGCACGATCCTGTAGGTCCCTGCTGACAGGTGGCAGAGCTGGCTCACTTCCTGGGCGTAGCGATGCGGCACACAGCTCAGCACAGGCTCCTGAAGCAGCAGGCCGGGTGCACTGCGGCTCCCCCCGTCCACCGGAACCTGGGGGACGCACGGGCTCAGACAGGGGAGGCCTGTCCACTGGGCCGCCATGGCCAACAGGAACGGCTCTCCTTCCTCAGTTTGGGCCTTCAATACCTGTCTGAGGCTGGGCTGTGCGGGGTCAGGCAAGACAGGGGCACTCTGCTTGGATATGGATCTCCCACATCACACACCTGCCCCTTCCCAGCGGGGAGACCCGTCCAGCCTGCCAAGCTGGGCCCACCGCTCACCAAGGCCCCATAACCCTTGTTAGATGTGCAGCCCTGCCTGGGGGACTACCACCATCACCACGGCCCAGGGCTCTGTCCCAGGACTCATCTGACCGGCTCCTAGCACTGGCACTTTTATCAAAGCTCCAGTTTTTATCGAAGCTCCCCCCCAGATGCCCCAGGGGACAGCCCGGGGCAAGCAAGACTCCACAATGAGCTCCCTGCTCTTTGGGAGCACGGTGGCTCTGTCCTCCCAAAGGTACACAAGCTTCTCAGAGACCTGCCCTATATCCACAGCCCAGGCAGGCTAAGTGTGCCCACCCCACCACACCAGCCATCATCCCAGCCCATGCCCTCCTCGGGCACCCGCTGGCTCATCAAGCCCAACTTGAGGTGGAGCCCCCAGGAGGAGCACACGTGCGGGTTGCAAGCCACTTCATTGCTGTGGCATCTGGGCCTGCGACCTCGGACCCTGATACTGTGTCTGTCTCCCTTCCTCCAACCACAGGTCTGCTCAGCACAGCACAGCCAGAGCTGAGGGGCAGGAAGGAGATCTGGGGTAGCATTTAAGATGTACAGGCCTGCCTGGGCCTTAACACCCGCTCCTCTTCACCCCATGACAGCTTTCTGACCCAAGAATTATCTAAGCCTTGCACTGGGTGGCATCTGTCACGCCACCACACCACCTTTTGTGGCCCCCTCCCTCCCTTTCCTGCTCTGCCTGGTGAGCCTGTGCTAGGGTCCCCTCCTGGACTCCAGAGGATGCCCTCTCCCTGGAAGAGTGGCCCCAGAAGGGTGGGGCATGGGGAAGAACGGGGCTACGTGGCTTTGGGGCAGCTCCTGGTGGGGCGCACCCTCGGGTCTCCTGGGCGGGAGGCACAGTTCAGGGGAGCAGAACTGACCTGACATTGCTGCTCTGAACTGGGGGAGTGGACGGGGGGCTGTCTGAGCTGACCCAGGCCCCCGTGAATTACAGACTTCAGGAAACTAGACATGGATCTTGCATGGGACCGGCCACCCAGCTGTGCCCACACAACCGAGTCCAGGCCTCTGTCATGCCTGGCCACCCGTGGGGACACAGTCCCTCTGAGAGCCTCCCTGCCCCCCGGAGCAGGAGGAGCTTGCCTGGAAGATGTGGAAGCCAATGGGATGGCACTGGGCGTCCTGGCAGTGCTGGCGCAGAGTGATGCGGACGCAGCGGGGGCCTGGGCCCTCGGAGACAGACAGGGGGAAGCAGGGGTTGCTAGGGTAGGAGGCAAAGTTCCTGCTGCCCCCTGCCGTCTGGCCGCTTCTCCAGGAGCCCCGCAGCTGTACCGTCTCCCACTCGCCCTCGGGCAGGGCCTCCCCAGGGGCAGGGCTCCCGGCCGCCGACTTGATGGCACTGCCCGGGAAAGACACACGGAAGGGCAGCTGGCAGCGAGCTCCGGACCGTGGACACACACACCCCTCCCATGAAGCTGCCCGGGCCATGCTGCCCTTTTCTCCTAGAGCTCCTCCATGCCCCTCACCTGAGGGAGATTCTCCCGCTAGAGAAGACCCGCAGCAGAAACTGCCCCGGCACGTCCTTCAGGAAGGTGCTGGGCACAGCCAGGTAGTAGCCCGGTGTGAGTTCGCAGCGGAGGTGGACCTCCCGGTCGTAGGCATGGCACACGGTGCCAGCAACAGGGGGTGTGGACAGGACCCTGGGCAGGCTGACCCGCCGCTTCTCCACCTGCACAGAGGAGGGCTGTGGGCCACCATCCCGAGAAAGGCCCCGCCACCTTCGCCCAGTGGAAGGGCCTCTCAAATGACTTCACAAAAGAGCACCTGGACCTGTGGGTCCTTCCCAGCATAGCGGGGGCCGGCGCAGAGTGCTCCCCAGGCCAGGGCTCTCACTCAACCCCAGGGGTCAGAGTCCCCCTGCTCTGGGAGACAGCAGACCAATCTAGATGGGGCTGGGCCCCGTTCCCTCCTGCCAGTCAGCCAATGGCTGCTTCTGCTTCGTCTCCCTTTGTCGGACAGACACGGGCCGGGCTGGGCGGAGCTGGGTCTGTGGGAGCCCCAGCAGATAGGTGACCCGGGAGGATGAGGCAGGTAAGGCTCCCGGTGGTCCCTCATGTCCCAGCACCCCCAGGCCCTGAGCAGGGAGGCGGGCCCAGGAGGAGTTACCTTCCAGATATGCAGGCCCACGGCCTGGTAATCCTCGCTCAGGAAGCTGGCTGGGCTCCTCGAGGCACACTCGCCCCTCGCCGGTGCCCGAGCCCGGCCTGCCCGGCCCATGGCGCGCACCCTGGGTCTCTGCAGGACGGCAACAAACACCTCGCTTGGTTCTGAGACCCGCAGCCAGAATTTGGGGTTGCTGGGAAAGCCGCTGTTGTTCCGACAGCCTCCTGCCGACTGCCCCTTGACCCAGGCCCCAGGCAGTTCCTGAGTGTGGCACAGCGCCTTTTCTAGGGGAGAACCAGCAGGCAGCAGCCTCAGGAAAGGACTCCTACTCAGGCTTCCCTGCCACTCTCACCAGCACCAGCTACAGCACCCTAGAGGCAGGAGCCCCGCAGTCTCCTACCACCTCAAGCCGCCTGGGATGGGAGGGGATGGAGCGCTCACTCGGCACACAGGGTGAGCAGAATAGGGCCCGGAGCGAGGGTTTTGCTGAGAGCCCCCAGAGGGATGCGGTGGCTGCTCGCCCTGACATCCGGAGGCAGGGAGGCTCTGAGAGTCTGTGCCGGTCGGCGTACCCCTACAAGGGCCTGTCCCAGGTGCAGGCCTCCCCCTTACCTGAGTAGAGGCTCTGCAGGTAGCCGGCCTCTGTGATCGGGAAGCCAACGGTGACTTCATCAAACTCCCGGAGGAACTCCTCCTCCTCCACCCAGAACTCCCCTTCCTGCAGCTGGGACAGCAACTCGGACTTATCGGCTGGGTCCACCTGGCTCCACCCTTCGCCCCTGGAAGGCAGTTTCCTTCAGCGGTGGCCCGTGACCCCTGAGCTGACAGCACTGACGGGGGGAGCTCCGTGACCTGCCAGTTTCTTGCTGGCCCAGCTCAGATTGGCTCTGCCCCGGCCACACCCCTCTCCCTCTCTGAGGCTCCTACCTCTGGACCTGTCTCTCCAGGGCTGTTCCCCTGAGCAGGCTAGTGAAGGCTGTGCCTGAGCTGCTGCTAGCCTCCTACACCCAGGAGGAAGGGTTCGGATCTGCTGACCAACTGCGGTTGGCCATGGGGCGTGGACCCAGGGCCCTCGCTCAATCCTGGTCCCCGGCATCAGTAAAGGTCTTAAAGCTAAGCTGCACACTGTGATTCAGGTGTCCCACATGTCCTGTCACCCACAGCCCAACCGGGCATCCACCAGTCCATGGGCATGCTCAAGATAGGAGCCCAGGGCCTCGGTCCTAGCACCAAGCCCGAACCAGCCCTCTAAGGCCATCTGGGGCCAAACGCAGGACCCAGGGGCCACAGGCAAGTGCCAGGGGGCCTTGTGGGAGACAACTGCACTGCGCTGATCAGCTACAAACCCGCACGGGCACACGCACATGGCTGCAATGGCTCTTCACTGCCGCTTGGGGCCCCAGACCCCTGCCCTCCCTGACAGCAGCACAGTCCCGGCCCTCAGCCACACTCACCCCTCTCTCCAGGGCCCCTGCCAGCACCGCCGGCCCCAGGGATTCTGAATACGCAGCAGAAGGAGGCTCTGGCCCGCCCGGCCCTGGAGCTCTTGCAGATCCGACACAATGAAGGCATGAAACTCCCCCAGCTCCCTGGCACCTGGGTGAGGAATGGCTGCGTTGTAGGCTGGAAGTCCCCAAACTGGGCACACGCACCGGTCTGTCTCCCTCCCCATGGGATGCACTAGCCCACCCGCCCGTGGCCATGGCAGCGCCTAGCTCCCAACGGACAGCTGGGTCCCCTTTCCTGACCACTGTGGACAAGTGAGCTTAGGAGTGGCCTGAGCCAGTGCAGAGCCCCGGCTGAGGACCTGGGTGTAGACTGTGGCTCGGCTGCCAAGGGCCCAGCTGGCCATTCCCTTCTCGGGGCCTCGGTTCCTGCTGGGGTGGAGGAGCAAGGCTGGCCAGCTGACAAGGCAGTGCAGGGCGGGTTCTCAAATGTGCAGCTACAAGGATTGTCAACAACAGGTCTGGGGCAGGTCTGGGACCTCCAAGAAGAGCAATCTCCTCCTGGCCAGGCTGGCTAGCTGAGTGGGCAGCAGGGCACTGCACGGCCAGAGACTGCGGGACCAAACACTGCTGAGGGGCAGACTGGAGGCCCAGAAAGGAAACAACCCTATTTGCCCAGAGTCCCTTGGGTCACACCACATGGAAGTGGAGGAGCCAAATGGTGACTAGAGCCCCACCTGCGGAAGAGGGGTGGCAGTCCAGAAAGAAAGAAATTTCTGGAATGTCTTTAAAAAGCTTTCTTTAGGGGCGCCTGGGTGGCTCCCTGGATTAAAGCCTCTGCCTTTGGCTCAGGTCATGATCCAGGAGTCCTGGAATTGAGCCCTGCATCAGGTTCTCTGTTCAGCAGGGAGCCTGCTTCCCCCTCTCTCTGTCTCTGTCTGCCTCTCTGCCTACTTGTGATCTGTCAAATAAATAAATAAAATCTTAAAAAAAAAAAAAAAGAAAAGAAAAGAAAAGATAAAGCTTTCTTTAGAATGGCGCTGTAGCCACCACTCTGGGTGTCTGCCCAAATCCCCAGAGCCGAGACACCTCTGCGGGATCCAGATGAGCGCTGGCAGCAACCCCTGCTTTGTCTGGGGGTTTCTGCAAAGCCTGGGGTGCTAAGAATGAGCCCAGCCCCAGCTTGGGGGCGGCTGGTGCCAAGCCTCAGGGAGAGTTCTGACGCCTCACTCTGCACAGTCAGCATGGCCCCTGTGGGCCTCCCCCCACCCCCTCGCAGAGTGGTGGCAGCCTGACCTATGCCCAGCCCAGTGGCGTTCACTGTCCACACACACTGTTTATTTCAATGTCTGTGTCCTTGGGCCAAAAAACCCATTATGAGAATCATCCTAAATGTGCAGGCTATTAAATACAGAAACATTCAGTAATTCTGTCCCTAATGTGAAAGACTGGAAAGCCCCGAAATGGGCGGTGTTAAGGGGCAGAGTAAGAAGACACATCAGCCTGGCTGACAGAACGAGATACCTGCAGTCCACACAGCGCCCGAGAAAGCAGAGGGACGCCTGGTTGTGGAAAAGCCCCAAGGGTCACGGAAAAGTCAAAACAGTTCCATGTGCGCGGTTTCTTCCTTTTGAGAAACTTCCTTTAATAAGCACGGAAACCACTCAAACGAAAACCTGAGTCTGATTCTGCCAGGGTGCCATGGGCCGGAAATGCCACCACCCCGGGTTCTGGAGTTTCCGGTGGCGGCCGCCCTGGCAGAGGTTCCAGCCTCAACCTACTCCCGAAGTTGGGGAGAAAGAGAAAAGTCAAGGGAAAAAGGGACCCTCCCTCTGGAGAAGGACAGGTGGCAGGGGAAGGTCACACACCAGACACCGGGTTTTAAAGACAAATGTCTTGTTTTCCACTCAGTCCCGATGAGGCCCTGAGAACCAGCCCTCGTGCGGCTGTGGGGCACAGGGGCACAGGCCCATACCACGGGCACCTGCCTGCCACCTCACCTGCTCTGGGGCTGAGCACCGAGCAGCTTATCAGACACCGGTCCTTGAGGCTGAGCAACTGCCGACAAGTCCTGTGCTCTGAGCCGCCGGGCCTGTCCTGTTGGCCACTGGTTCTGGCCAAGTCCTTCAAGCTCCACCTTTCTGCCAGGCCCCCAGTGAGGTCTACCAGGGCATCGGCCACCTGCCCCGCCCACAGGTGCTCGTAGGACCCGTAGACCCTGGGGAGACACAACCATAGGAAGTGAGGCTCTGGCACGGGGACACAGCGGCCTGCTTCTCTTCCATCTGCAACACCCTCAAATCACCTGACCCTCCACTTCAGTAGCTTCTCTTTACTCCTGCCTCATCCTCACCAAGCACAGACATCACTGGACTCTCAAAGGCCACACTGCACAGTGGGCCCAGCCCCGACCTACGGCCTCCAGCATGGACACAAGCGGGAGGCAGCATGAGGCGTGAGGCTGTGAACACGCACTGCTCCACTTCTCCAGATCGAAGCCCACCCTGGTCCTGGGATGGAGGCACTCGCACACACATCACTGCCTCACTCCCTTTGTGCAAAGGCCTGTTTATCACAGCGGCCTCTTCCGGCAGGCTGAGCACTACATTCTAAGAGGGTCATTTTCCCCTTCAGACCTGGGGTGAGGGGCACGGCCTTAGGCAGGACCTCGATAAGCAAGCACAGAAATCTGGGTGGCTTTACTCCTCCCACCTTACTTTGAAGTGAGGACAGGGAAAGAGGGAGTGGGTAGCAGGGGTGGAGTTGGTGGGGGGGGAGCGGAGACGGGCACTACAGGCCCCGTCTCAGAGTTTCTGTCTCTGGACAGGCTGGTCCCACTGCAGGCCTGGCTGCCAGGTTCTGGGGACTGAGGAGGGCGCTTAGCCCAGGGAGAGCGGAGACGTACTGCCCAGGAACGGCCTAAGGCTGCTGTGGCTCCCCAGCCCACCCCAGCCTGGCCCCTCCAGCCTTCGGCACGCGTACTTGGCATAGACTTTCTCCAGTAGGGGAAGCCAGAACACATCCTCTCTCTGGCACCGGGAGAAGCAGAGTCTCCCTGCAAGACAAGGCAGACGGTCATCTACGGTCACCTCCAGCCAGTGTCCAAATTGCCAGATTCGACAAGTAAAGGAGCCGCGGTACGCGTGGTCACACCAGCTCGGCTGTCCTGGAGGGAAGACCTACCACGCACAGGGAAAGGCAAAAGGAGAGCATGAGAGACAAACCATGCAGTGTTTCCCACGCACTGTCACAAGAGCCGCTCCACGCTACCCTGCTGCTCTGCCCGGGGCCTGACTTCGCTCCACAGCTGGATGTCCATGTGGATGCAAAACCCAGTCGCCACATAGAAAACTAACAGACTTTCCAGTAAAACATCTTAGGACCACACTGAGGGAGCCGAGTGTCTCTAAAACCTTAAGGCCAACAATGATGTCCTACTGTCCCAAATAAGCTCTTGACCTGAATCCAAAACAAACATGACTTTTACAGGCAATTCTCGGCAAAGCTGGCTGTGGATGGCGGTCACAGTGACCCCCCAGCTGCAGGTGGGGCGGGGGTCTCAGGAGTTCTGCCAGCGCCTGGACCCAGTGCGTTCACTGCAGGCTTTGGAGTTCTGACCCAGAATAAGACACAGGTAGGGTCTGCACCTACACAGGCTTGTCTGGTCCTGCTCTGTCACTTACTGACTATGAACATGTTATCAAAGGTTTTAGCGTTGTTCGCAAATGAGGGTCAAAGCCAGACAGGCCCTGAGCACAAAGGCCAGCAACTATGGTGTGATTAGCAGGGCCTGGGGACATGGGAGTAGCTCCAAAGGGGTCACTACTGTCAATGTTGCTGCTTTAATCAGTAACGTCCAGGCAGGAGCCAAACAAAGCTGTGAGGCTCCTGGAGAAGCCCGCTGAGCAAGTCTTTTATACGTGTGCTATCAGCCTAGCATCTGAAACAGTTTTAACCACCTTTTGCCAATTTATGTTCAAAACTGTTAAAAACAAAAAAAGTCAACTAGCTAGGGAAACATACTCCGAACCAGGGGCATAGGACCCGTCAGCCGAACCTTCCCTACTCTGGGTAGCTGTGCTCATCTTTGCATACCAAGCGCACAGCTTGCATGAGAACCCAAGGCTCAGAAGGGCAGAGCAGAGGGGAAAGCCCACGTGCTGGAACCCTAGGGACACCTCAGAGCCCCTGTGGCCTGAGCGGAGAGCTGTCTCTTCCCACCAGCCACACCAGGCAGCCACAGCAGAGCCCACAGAGCAGGAGCTTCAGCTGCCCTGCCTCCGGCTTCCTTCCTGTGCACAGCGGACAGGAAGACAGCGGAAGAGCAGCCCTGCCCGCCCCAGATACCTGGTCCAGGAGCTGCTGGCTCTTCTGCAGAGCGGCGCAGGCACAAAGGAGCCAGCAGTCTCCCAGCAGCCCTTGCTTCACCTGTCCCTCCAGTGGGTTATCTCCAAACAGCCGGGGCGTGGCACAAATTTCCTGAAATAAAGAATATCACCCAGTTACATCATGCCTGAAGACTAGTCTCTAAAACTAAGGAGACAGGATCGAGGCGACAGGCCTGGGGAGGAGCTCTTCTGGTCACCCATATTGCCTAAGAGGGAAGGGGAAGCAGCAGGCCTCCCATAGCCCCTCCTGGCTTTAGATCACTCCATCCGGTTTAAGTCCTAGGGTCCCTGTCTCTTTCTGTCTACCTTCCTAAAACGGCAAAACTGCAACTCTAGATAAGTCCTTCTCGAAACAGCTAACTTGCCCTAGAAAATGGTTTCACTTTAAATTCGTAATGGCAAATCTCAGACGGATCCTGCTTAATTTCCCCAAACCCAGACTACTTTATACCTTCCCCTTTCCCCTCCTCTTAACACTTCCATGCCCCCACCCTTTCCCACAGCCCTCTGAGCTGATGACCTTATCAGAAGCTTCCTCAGAAGCAACCCCTGCCTGACCCCCTCTCCTGCCTTCTTTAGAGCCAGCGTTCCTCCCATGACCCCCTCCCTCCTCCACCCCTGCAGGGAAAATGCCACCAGCATAAGGCAGAGAGAACCCCCATCTTCTGTAAGATACTGCCTCCCCCTGCATTATCTCCCCTTGAGTCTTCCCTTCTCTGACAGACTTCTTGTGAAAGAGCTGCTTCCTTACTTCCTCCATCCTGCTCCCTAAGCACGGGCCCCTCCAGCCTCTGGGCCAGTCACCTCTGTGTTGTCAAATTCAAAGGGCTCACTCTGTTCTCATCTTTCCTGACACTTGGCAGCATCACAGAACAGTGGCTGTCCCCTTGCACTCCCCCACAGTCCCCTCTTGGCTCCCATGGTTCCACGTGTTCCTGGCTGTCCTTTCACCTCACCGCCTGCTGGTTCTCCAAGCTACCTGCCAGGACACCTGCTTGAACCCTCTAGGGAATGTTAGGGGCCCTCAAGGCTCAGTTCCAAGCCCTCTCTTCTTTTTCAGACCCACTTTCTCCTGAAATACTGTTTGGGGCCCTCGGCCCTGTTATGGGTCCCATTCCCAGATGTCTGGGTCCTCTAGCCCAGAACTTCCTGAGCACCTAACTCTCAAGCCCACCTGCCTGTGGACAGCTCTGCTCACACCTGTGCGAGCAAAGTGGAATGCCAGAGTTCCATTCCTAGCTATCCCCCACCTCCCAATGTCCCCCAGCACATCAAACAGGACCACCATCTACCCAGGTGCCCAGGCTACAAATCTGGAAGTCGTTCTTGATCCTTGCTTCATCCTCACCCTCTACTTCCAATTGGTCACTAAGACTCATTAACTCCCCTCCAAATTATTTCTCAAATCCATCCACTTCAAAGCTCCGTCCTACTGGGTGCCATGCTACCCTAAGCCCCTGCACCTCTCTCTAGGACCACTGCATTCCTGCCCTGTCAGTCCACTTCCTAGCCAGCAGTAAAAGTGAGCTTCTTCAAACATAAACTCACTCAAATCCCTCCTCTACTAAAACCCTCTAAAGGCCTCCCACTGTGCCTAAAATGCATTTTTAATCCCAATTCCACTGGCACTTTCGTGCTTCCCGAGCACCTCTGTGACCTGAGCCACGCTGCTCCGAGGGCTGGTGACAGACCGCAGCGGTCTCCACCAAGACCGTGTACTTGCCGGCAGGGGAGGGCTCTCCCCGAGGTCTTACTTATCAGATGAACCATTTGTAAAGGTGGTCTGCACTAGTGCACGCAGCACTAGGCCAGAGCGTCCCTCTCCATGGACAGCGTCAAGCGTTCCCATGCGGAAATGCCGGTGCACTCGGTGCGAACAGCCTTGCCTTCCAGAAAAGCAGGAGCGCGGTCCATCCCGGCAAACGCGGGAAACAGAGCCGGGCCGCCTGTGGCCGGAAGAGCCGTGCGGCCCAGAGGCTCGGCCGGCCGGACGCCCGTCAGAGAAGCGGGGCCAGGCTGGCGTCTGCTGCACCGGACTTCTCGCCCTGCCCGAACCGCCTTCGGAACCGAGATTTGCGCTGGCTCCCTCGCGGGGCACCCTCCCCCCACCCCGCTCCTAAGGGCCGCAGCGGCACCCCGCCTGAGGCAGCGCGCGGGGCCCGACCCAAGGTTCGAGGCCCGGCCCGAGGTTCGGGACCCAGCCCGAGATTCGGGGCCCTGCACGAGGTTCGAGGCCCAGGTCGAGGTTCGGGGCCCGACCCGAGGTTCGGGGCCCGCGCCAGCCGCCCCACCTGCGGCCGCCTCCATGTGATGTCCTCGCGGAACTGGGCCAGCGGCGTGGAGAAGCTGGAGAAAAGCGAGGAGTCCGAGGCCGGGAAGTCGGCGTCCCGGAAGAGCTCCCTGGCCGGCGCCCGCATCCTGGGCGCCCCGGGCTCGCATGGGCTGCCCGCGCCCCCCGCGCCGAGCGCGGCCCCGGAAGGAAGGCGAGTCCACCGCACGCCCCGCGCGCGCCCGCTCAGTCGCCCCGGTAACCGCCGGACCATGTGACACCGCGGCCCAATCGCACTCAAACGGCGAAAGTGCCCTCCCCCCGGGGAGGCGTGGCTCCCGAGCTCCGCAGTCGCGGGTCTGTGTAGTCGCCCCGGCTGCAGTTCTCTTTCCGGGGTGGGGTCTGGGGGGTTGAGTGGGCCGCTACTGATACCCCGCGGGCCAACGGGCACCGTGTGGTCGAGCCGGTGCAGCTCGTTCCGGGGCGTCGGGGCCGCTTGGGGTCGCGGGCTCTTGGGGCTGAAGGGACCTGAGAGGCCTGTCCACCGAGGTCGAGCCGCGGACTACAGGTCCCAGCATGCAGCACCGCCTCCCGGAATGCTCCTCTCCTGGCTGCGGCGGCTGCGGGTCGGGCCGCCTGGTCAGGGAGGAGTCCGTGAGAGGCTCACGAGGGAAGGCGGCGGCGAGCCGCTGCGGTGGCCAAGGGCTGGGCTCTCGGCTGCAGCTGGCCGCGGGGAGGGCCTGTCGGGCTTGGGACGCTGTCTCCTTAGCGGGGCAGACGACGAGGCGGCCGCAGATGTTAGGATATATGGCCCTATGGGCGGGACAGTGAGGGACCTGGACGTGCGGTTACGGCTTCGGGCAGGCAAGGACAGGGATCCCGGGCCCTGCCTCAGTATTTACACTCGCTGCGGGAACCGGCATTTCCCCATTCCTGGGAAGGACGGAAGGCAGGCTTCCGGAGGCTTGTCCGCCGGCCCCGCGAAGCCTGCTTCAGTGGCATCGGAGCCTTCCCAGAGGGCTGGGCAGGGGAGGAGAAGCGGCCTCAGCCCTTGTCGTGGCAGCTCTCCGCTGCTACTGGGGTTACTCACATCTTGCGTTCCAGGCTGCCTTTACCCAACCCCCAGACAGGAAGAGTAGTCCAGTCTGAGGGGTTCTGCTATGGAGCGGACAAGTCCCTGCTGCCAGGAGAGAGGGAACCAGGTTCCCGTGACAGCCGCAGCTCCTCCCTACGACGGTGTCACACTGTGGGAGCCCCACCCACCAGGCTCTTTTGGAGGCCTGGAGGGCTCTGTTGAGGTTCTGGAAAACAACTAGGTATCTCAACTCCTGTCTCTGGGATGTTAGGACTTCACGACTGTTCAGCATTCCTGTAGTGTTATCTCCTGCAGAAGATGCCAGAAGCTGGCGGCTGCACTGGAGCCGAAGGGAATCTGGAAAGGCCTGGACTTGGCTTCATGTTAGTTTCTGACGAAGTAAGTGACGTTTCCTACGTGCCCTGGGTTGCTGGACTGTTCTCTCCAGGTAGCACACTGGGGAGAGTCCTAGAGGCTTGGGTGTCCAGTCCACCATCTGGAGAGCAGGCAGCTTCCTGCGGACATGTGCGACACATGTGACCATTTCCTTTCCCGAGCCTGTGGGTGTTAACGGGTTCTATGGAATCTGAGCCCTGCCTCCTCCCCTCCAGCCCCGCAGGTTATCACTACTCTGGAGTTTTTGTGCTCTGTGACTTTGCTCACACTTATGCCCAGATAACTCCCTGTTGTTTTTCAAGGGATAGTCTCTGACTTCACCACTTGGGGCTGGGGGTTGTCTCTTCTGAACCCCCACATCTCTTCCTTGTTCAGTGGGCAATAACCAGGCCCTGTATTCTCATGGGGACACAGCGAGTAGAAACCTGATTTAGTTGCTGCAGCTGAAGTCATTTGGGGAGTCCAGACCTCTCCTTAGCTCAGGGCCAGAAGTTTTAAAAGAGGAGCACGTGCCCCAGCTCAGAGCAACAGGACACAGGGAACGGTCCTCTGGGGGGGGGCGTTCCCCCAATCTGCCCAGGGCACTCAATGGCGCCTTCTTTTGTAGCCAGCTTTAGCTGCTGGCGTGTGGAGGGCTGGTGACAGAGACTGCTGCAGTCAGCTCGTGACCACAGGGGGACAACCCAGAAGACAAAGGCCTGCACACGGAGACTCCAGAGCAGAAAGAGCCCGGTGATGTCCCCGAGCCCCTGATCTTGTTGGTCCTAGGATCGTCCATCTTGGGATTATGATTTCATAGATAATAAATACAGTTTTACAGTTTGAGTAAATTTTGAGTTGAGTCTTTTGTTTCAGCCCTGTACACCTCGTCCAGAGGCCTGTATGCATTGACTACTGCTGTGAGTCAAGTTGCCCCAAAACTTAGAAACTTAGACATTTATTAGGTCACAGTTTCTGTGGGTTAGGAAACGTGGCGGCAGGTGGCTAGTTCTGGCTGAGGGTCTCCGGGCATGGCAGTCACAGTGTCGGCCAGAACTGAGCCAGCCGGAGACTGGCTGGAGCCGGAGACCTCCACTCCTTGTCATGTGGACCTTTGTGAAGCTGCTTGAGTGTTCTCACCACTCGGGGTTACTCCTGGAGCAAGCGATCCCAGGGGAATGGAAAGCGGACGCTGCGGGGTGGTTTTTATTTTTTAAAGGTTTTGTGTATTTATGTGAGAGACAGTGCACAAGCGAGAGTGCACAGGCAGGGGGAGCTGCAGAGGGAGAGGGAGAAGCAGACTCCCCAGTAAGCAGGGAGCCTGATGTAGGACTCACTCCCAGGACCCTGGGAGTGGAAGGCAGACACTTAACCGACTGAGCCACCCAGGCGCCCCTCCAGGGTGTTTTATGACCCATCTCGGACGTCCTCCATTGTTTCCACCACGTTCTCTTCAGTGCAGTCTACACTCAAGAGAGGGAGCATGAGAAGCTGTGCACATGCGTTAAGGCCCCTGTAGGCCCTAAGGGGTGGGCTGGGAGTATGGTTTGTGCAGGGACCAGATGAGCCGTGTGGAAGCCTGGGAAGGGTGGGGGTGGCTGCCCAGGGCTTTTACTTTGAGGGATCACGCGTTGTGAGGTGGGCTTGGAAGGGTCTTTGAGGCTAGGATAGAAGAGTGAGCCCAGGGGCCCAGGTTTTGAACCAGCGAAGGAGAAAGAGATTTAGTTTCTTTGAAGGTGCTTGGTGACTAGTCACGTGAGTCAGAGAGAGGGCGGGTGCTGCAGGATGGTGGTGCCAAGTGAGGCAGCCCTGGGGGCCCTGTGGACTTGTAAGAAGGACTGGCTTTGTGCCCCATCAGTTTAGGAAGCTCATGGGACTCCTCTCGAAAGAACGGTCTTTGTTCAGGGACATGCCTTGACGTGGATTAGGGCAGGCATGCTCTCTGTCACATGGCCAGGCCAGGTCTGAATCACAGGGCAGTTTCTGGCCCACAAAACCATGCAGGCCCTGGGTCCCACCCCCAGCAGCCAGAGAGGGGCCCAGTGTCCTGGTCCTGAGGGCAACAGGGTACACTCCGGGCAAGGCCTTCTCTCTGGGAATCTCCAAATGAGGGAAGGGTACAGGTGCGAGGCTCCCCGGCCTAGCCAGGTCCACAGCCTACAGGAGCAGCCCCCTAACATGCCCGTCCGACAGCCAACTCTGCCGTCAGACCGCAGAGATGACGGGAACCCAGTCAGCCACACCAGCAGGTCCAAAAACTGTCTGGACCAGCAGCACAGGGGCCCAGAGCCTGGACTGCTTTAAAGTCACATGAGCAAAGATTCTCCTGACTGCTCTTGGCCTCTGTGTCAACCACAAGCCTTGTGGTACAGAGTACCCAGGGTGGTCGTGACAATTAAGTGAGAAAGAATGCAAGGTACATTGGCTGCCCTTGGCAGGTGGGGGGATGGTCATTGAGGATGATAGTCCTGGGTCGTGGAGGGTGGTCAGTGAGAACATGGACTGCTTCTCTGTGGGATCATTTGAGGTGGAGTAGGAGTTGGGTCCTAGAACCTTGGGTCTCTGTTCCCCAGATGGAAGGTTCGAGCTGAAGGAATTCCGAGGCAGGGCTGGAACAGGGCCCTTTCTGCCATACTTGCACCATAAGAAAGTGGGTCCCACCGCTAAGGGTTCGAAGGGTCGAACTAATTTGAAACACGATGAGTGTTGAGTTTGTGTGGTCCTTGCCCATCCCAAAAGCAGGTATCACTGCCCCATATTAGGACAAGGAGGCTGAGCTTCAAAGGGAGGAGGTGGTGGGCCAGGCGTGCTCTGCTGTGGGGAGCACAAAGACCGCACCCCAGCCAGCCAGACCTAGTTCACTTTGCTCACTGCAACAGAGGAATGGCTTCTTTTCGGTTGGTGTTATAGGTTAATATTTTTTCCAAGCACCTAATAGGAATTTTCCCCCCAACTCTTGCTCTGGAGGGTCCTAGGGGTCAGGCATTCAGTGTTGCCATGAACACAGTGTCGACCATCTCCACTTGACTCCAGTGCCCTGCGGCTGGCGAGCCATCTGGGCTGCAAGCTGTTCTCTGTGTCTGGGTGTGTGCCGTCTTCCCCTTGGCTTGCTCACCTTCCACCAAGGAGAGGTCTCCCCTGGCCTGGGTAGGCGGGTGGGCGGTGAGCTCCTGAGCAGCCTGCCCCGGGCCTGTCAGAAGCCCTCCCATGGGCTGTGCTGGGGGCTGGCCAGCACCCGACTGCCCTGCCCAGGCCTGTGTTTCGTGGTCATTTCCCTGCTCTGGGGCTTTTGCTCTCCCAGGGTGTCTGGGCTGGGGGCGGTTTACCAAGGAAGTGGGCGGGGGGGCAGGGGCAGCTAACATTAGGGTTATGTTGGCAGAAAGACAGTCTGTGCTGGGTGTGCAGGGTAAGCAGGAGCAGGGCCAGGAGAGCTGATGGGAAGAGTGGCAGAGGGGAGCAGCGGGGAGGCAATGCTAAGGAAATGAGGCTGGGGTCCGGGGGGGCCCGCTGTGGATGGAAAGGCAGGCTACAGGCAGAGGGAGGACGCCTCAATTCATGTGAACATTGTGTGGCTTTGTCTCACTGTGACCACCTGGTCTTGAGGATCCCACTTCACATTTCCTCTGTACTTACCCTTCAGGCTCCTTTGCTAACTCTAGAATATTCTTTGTCCCGTATTCCAGCCCATGAATCCTCTCTGCATCGTGATCTTTCTACTGAGTGTTCTTTTTGGGGGAGAGAGAGGGGTCATTTTTTTATTGTAGTGATGGCTCTTTAAAACAGTTTCCAAGCCTCTGACTGGTTCTTTTCCATGTGTCCCAGTGTCGTGCAAGTGCCCATCCCTGCTTTATGGCATATTTCAACCCCCCCACCCCCGCCATTGTGGCTGAAATTTTCCTTCCACGTGTTGTGATGTCGTCCTCTGACCACTCCGCTTGCTGTTCCCTTGGGTGTGAATTTGGTCTGGCTGGTGCTGACCCGCTCCTGGGGGTGCCGGGCTGAGCGATATCTTTAGACCTGAAGGTGTGCCCCAGGCACCTGGCCTTAGGGGAGGGGCCTACCCCCAGTGAGTCCCTGAGAGAGTGGGGCGCACTTCGTAGGCAGGCTGGACCACACAAGACACTGCCTGAGGGACCCTAGGACCAGAGAGGCTCCCAGCAGCGTGGGGCACCATATGCAAACCTGCAGCCTCCCTCCTACCTTCCTCGAGTGTCTGCTCTCCTCACAGGCCCACGAAAGCCACTGCTGGAGGCCATTGCCATCCTCTTTCTGGACATCATGCCCCTGGCTCCCTGGACACCGCTCTCCCACCTGGCTGGCTGCTCCCTTCTCCATCGCCCAAATGCAGCTGTTCCCCAGAGTTCTGTCCTCAGCCCTACAGGGGTCACTACTGCCACTTGCCACCCCCTTTAGTGCACGTGGTGGGAGTGGCTATGCGGGCCCCCTAGTTCGTGCCCTTGCCATGGACAGTGTGAGCCCCTCCTCAGCTCTCACTCATCTCTGGCAAGATGTCTGGAATGTTCCAGATGTCATCTCCTTTGTCAGCACGGGTGGCCCCGAGGAACCACAGAAATGGGAAGCCCACCCCACTGCCCGCCTATAGCAGGAAGGAGAAATCCCCCTTGTTGAAAACGTTGGTATTTCAGAGGGTTCGTTGCTGAAGAGTGACTCCACCTGTGGCCGAGAAGCTGGTCCTGAGGAGGGTGCCCCTCGATCAGAACAGGGGACACGTGTGCCGTGGTGTGGGGCGGGTGGGGCCGTGACTGAGCCAAGCTGTTGTGAGGCGGTGGCGCGACATGGTCAAGGCCAGCCCTGGTGACCCACGGGCAGATGGTGTGGGAGACGGTAGTGGGTCTGGCGGGAGCAGCGGTGTGTTGGGCACGGGCGGCATCGAGCAAGACAGTACAGGGAGGAGCTGGGCCATGATAGTATTCCGGGGTTTCAAGCAGCAGGGAAGAGGAGTGGCAAGAGGCTGGGAATGCAGGGCCTCACAGGGCTGGGAGCACTGTCCTCGCCCCAAAGGGTAGCTCGGGGCCAGGACAGACCATGACAAGGACAATGTCAAGGATATGGGCATCCCTTCCGCGTTGTGACAGCTGGGAGTCGCTTCTGCATAGTTGGGAGAGCGCAGGCAGGCGCAGCTGGGTGGGAGGGAAGCCGAAGCCGGGGTCTTGCAAGGCACCATGGCCTTGGCCGTGGAGCAGGGAGCAGATCTGCGTTTTTGAGAGTCAAAATGCCGAAGAGACCAAGAGCCCAGGACTAAAAAGTGTGGAGCAAGAGTCTTGAAAGATACCTTCCCTTTTGCGGGGCGGGGGGGGGGGGGGAAGCTGAGAAGGCAGCTCAGCACCCTCAGGGCTTTTTGCTTGGATACTTGGTTCAGGAAGAGAATGGACCCTCCCAAGGGCGGAGCCAGGGCCACAGAGAGCCTGGGACCCGGCCCCTACTGGCAGGACTGGGTCCCTTGCAGGGTGCTGGGATTGCTATGTGGGGGGCTGCTGGGCGCCTCCCATGTTCTCCCTTCTGCAGGTATGTTGCTACAATGGCCCTGTCCCTGTTCCCTGCAGGACGGGTGACTGGCCCAGTTCACAAGTTTCTGGGTTGAGTGGGCCCCACTTAGCCCTGGTGCACAGCCCTACATTCACGGAGACCACCGGGATGCCAGCTGTGGGCTGCACCATGACAGTAGGGGGACGGGGCTGTCTCCTTGGGGAGAGGGGGGAGGAGGGTCTAGAGTGCAGAAGAATCAATGGGATATTGGTGACGTGATGGCCGGGTGTGGTGGTGCTGGGGTTCCTGGCCCACCATTTCCAGTCTTTCCATGTCCCAAAGCAGGGCTCTGGGCCTGGGACTG